ACAGGGGGTCACTGGGGACATAGGGGGGCTAGGGGGTCACTGGGGACATGGGGGGGGCAGGGGGACACACCTTGTCCTGTACCTGGGGGGGCACAGGGGTCACTGGGGACATGGAGGGGTCACTGGGACACACCTTGTCGATGCAGGTGTCGAAGAACTCGAGGCAGGGGTGGTGGCACACAGGGGACACAGAGGGGGCAGAGGGGACACAGGGCACACAGGGGACACAGAGGGGACATGCAGGGCACACAGAGGGGACAGAGGGGACATAGAGGACACAGAGGGGACAGAGGGGACACACAGGGGGCACAGAGGGGACACAGAGGGGACACAGGGGACACACAGGGGACACACAGGGGACACAGGGGACACAGGGGACATAGAGGACACAGAGGGGACACAGAGGGCACAGAGGGGACAGAGGGGACAGAGGGGACATAGAGGACACAGAGGGGACAGAGGGGACAGAGGGGACATAGAGGACACAGAGGGGACAGAGGGGACATAGAGGACACAGAGGGGACACACAGGGGACACAGAGGACACAGGGGGACACACAGGGGACACAGAGGGGACACAGGGGACACAGAGCGGGGACACAGGGGGACACAGAGGGGACACGAGGGGACACTGAGGGGACACAGAGGGGACACAGAGGGGACACAGAGGGGACACTCAGAGGGACACTACAGTGGGGACACAGAGGGGACACAGGGGACGCACAGAGGGGGACACAGGGGACACTAGGGGACACAAGGGGGGACACACGTGGGACGATGCAGGTGACAAAGAACTCGAGGCAGGGTGGTGGGGACAGGGGACACACAGAGGGACACAAGGGACACACAGGGGACACAGAGGGGACACAGGGGACACACCTTGTCGCACGAGGTGTCGAAGAACTCGGAGGCAGGGGGGTGGTGGCACACTAGGGGACACAGGGGGGACACAGGGGGGACACAGGGGACACAGGGGACACAGAGGGGACACAGAGGGCACAAAGGACACAGAGGACACACAGGGGACACAGAGGACACAGGGGACACAGAGGGCACAGGGGACACACCTTGTTGATGCAGGTGTCAAAGAACTCGAGGCAGGGGTGGTGGCACACAGGGAACACAGAGAGGGGCAGGGGACACAGAGGGGACACAGAGGGGACACAGAGGAGACAGAGGGGACACAGGGGACAGAGAGGACACACCTTGTCGACGCAGGTGTCGAAGAACTCGAGGCAGGGCTCGCGGTCGCTGGCGAAGGAGCAGTCCTCGATGAACTGGGTGAAGAGCTGCGTCCTGAGCAGCTGCCCGTAGAAACGCTGGTACTGCCGCTCACGGGAGCGCAGGAACCCTGCGGGCACAGCCACACCCCCAGGGGGGAGGGAGGGTCACCATGGGACCACCAGGGAGGGGAGGGGCACCACGGGACCACCAGGGATGGGATGGGATGGGAGGGTCACCAAGGGACCACCAGGATGGGCACCACGGGACCACCAGGGACAGGAGGGTCACCACGGGACCACCAGGGATGGGAGGGGACAGGAGGGGCACCACAGGACCACCAGGGATGGGAGGGTCACCATGGGACCACCAGGGACAGGAGGGTCACCACAGGACCACCAGGGATGGGAGGGTCACCACGGGACCACCAGGGATGGGAGGGGATGGGAGGGGCACCACGGGACCACCAGGGACCACAGGGGATGGGAGGGGCACCATGGGACCACCAGGGATGGGAGGGGCACCACGGGACCACCCAGGATGGGAGGGGATGGGAGGGGCACCACGGGACCACCAGGGATAGGATGGGACAGGAGGGGCACCATGGGACCACCAGGGACGGGAGGGGATGGGAGGGGATGGGATGGGATGGGACAGGAGGGGCACCACGGGACCACCAGGGATGGGAGGGGCACCACGGGACCACCAGGGATGGGAGGGGCACCATGGGACCACCAGGGATGGGAGGGGATGGGAGGGTCACCATGGGACCACCAGGGACAGGAGGGGCATCACGGGACCACCAGGGATGGGAGGGTCACCATGGGACCACCAGGGATGGGAGGGGACAGGAGGGTCACCATGGGACCACCAGGGATGGGAGGGGCACCACGGGACCACCAGGGATGGGAGGGGCACCATGGGACCACCAGGGATGGGAGAGGATGGGAGGGGCACCACGGGACCACCAGGGATGGGAGGGGCACCACAGGACCACCAGGGATGGGAGGGGCACCACGGGACCACCAGGGATGGGAGGGGCACCACGGGACCACCAGGGATGGGAGGGGATGGGAGGGGCACCATGGGACCACCAGGGATGGGAGGGGCACCATGGGACCACCAGGGATGGGAGGGGATGGGAGGGTCACCACGGGACCACCAGGGATGGGAGGGCACGCAGGACCACCAGGGATGGGAGGGACAGGAGGGTCACCATGGGACCACCAGGGATGGGAGGGGATGGGAGGGGCACCACAGGACCACCAGGGATGGGAGGGGCACCACGGGACCACCAGGGACAGGAGGGGATGGGATGGGACAGGAGGGGCACCACGGGACCACTAGGGATGGGAGGGTCACCATGGGACCACCAGGGATGGGATGGGATGGTCACCACAGGATGGGACAGGAGGGTCACCATGGGACCACCAGGGATGGGAGGGGCACCACAGGACCACCAGGGATGGGAGGGGATGGGAGGGGCACCACGGGACCACCAGGGATGGGAGGGGCACCACGGGACCACCAGGGACGGGATGGGAGGGGCACCATGGGACCACCAGGGATGGGAGGGGACGGGAGGGGCATCACGGGACCACCAGGGATGGGATGGGAGGGGCACCAAGGGACCACCAGGGATGGGAGGGGCACCACGGGACCACCAGGGATGGGACAGGAGGGGCACCACGGGACCACCAGGGACAGGAGGGGCACCACGGGACCACCAGGGATGGGACAGGAGGGGCACCACGGGACCACAGGGGATGGGACAGGAGGGGCACCACGGGACCACCAGGATGGGAGGGGCACCACGGGACCACCAGGGATGGGAGGGGATGGGAGGGGCACCACGGGACCACCAGGGATGGGAGGGGATGGGAGGGGCACCACGGGACCACCAGGGACCACAGGGGATGGGACAGGAGGGGCACCACGGGATGGGATAGGACAAGAGGGTCACCACGGCACCCCCCAGCACAGGATGGGACAGGAGGGCCACCACACCACCCCCCTCCCCAGGATGGGATGGGACAGGAGGGTCACCACAGGCTGGGACAAGAGGGTCACCCCAGGAGGATGGGACGGAGGTCACCCCAGGAGGGGATGGCACAGGAGGGTCACCAGGGGCCCCCCAGGATGGGATGGCACAGGAGGGTCACCACAGGCTGGGACAAGAGGGTCACCCCCCAGGAGGGGATGGCACAGGAGGGTCACCAGGGGCCCCAGGAGGGGATGGCACAGGAGGGTCACCACGGGATGGCACAGGAGGGTCACCCCCCAGGATGGGAGGGGATGGCACAGGAGGGTCACCACAGGATGGCACAGGAGGGTCACTCCCCAGGATGGGATGGCACAGGAGGGTCACCACGGGATGGCACAAGAGGGTCACCCCCAAGGATGGGAGGGGATGGCACAGGAGGTCACCCCAGGATGGGAGGGGATGGCACAGGAGGGTCACCACAGGATGGCACAGGAGGGTCGCCACGGTACCCCCCAGGATGGGACAGCACAGGAGGGTCACCCCCCAGGATGGGGTGACACCGGACGGTCACCACAGGATGGGACAGGAGGGGATGGCACAGGAGGGTCACCCCCCAGGATGGGACAGGAGGGGATGGCACAGGAGGGTCACCCCCCAGGATGGGACAGCACAGGAGGGTCATCCCCCAGGATGGGAGGGGATGGCACAGGAGGGTCACCATGCCCCCCCAGAATGGGACAGGAGGGGACGGCACAGGAGGGTCACCCCCCAGGACAGGAGGGGACGGCACAGGAGGGTCACCCCCCAGGATAGGACAGAAGGGGATGGCACAGAAGGGTCACCCCCCAGGAGGGGATGGGATGGCACAGGAGGGTCACCACAGGATGGGACAGGAGGGGATGGCACAGGAGGGTCACCCCCCAGGATGGCACAGGATGGGATGGCACAGGAGGGTCACCCCCCAGGAGGGGAGGGGATGGCACAGGAGGGTCACCATGGGATGGCACAGGAGGGTCACCCCCCAGGATGGCACAGGATGGGATGGCACAGGAGGGTCACCCCCCAGGACAGGAGGGGATGGCACAGGAGGGTCACCCCCCAGGACAGGAGGGGATGGCACAGGGGGGTCACCCCCCAGGATGGGACAGGAGGGGACGGCACAGGAGGGTCACCCCCCAGGACAGGATGGGGTGGCACAGGAGGGTCACCCCCCAGGACGGGATGGGACAGCACAGGAGGGTCCCCATGGCACCCCCCAGGAGGGGATGGCACAGGAGGGTCACCACGGGATGGCACAGGAGGGGATGGCACAGGAGGGTCACCCCAGGAGGATGGGATAGCTGGGAGGGTCACCACGGGATGGCACAGGAGGGGATGGCACAGGAGGGTCACCCCCCAGGAGGGGATGGGATGGCACAGGAGGGTCACCACAGGATGGGACAGGAGGGGACAGCACAGGAGGGTCACCATGGGATGGGAGGGTCACCCCCCAGGAGGGGATGGCACAGAAGGGGATGGCAAAGGAAGGTCACCATGCCCCCCCCGAATGGGACAGGAGGGGATGGCACAGGAGGGTCACCATGGGATGGCACAGGAGGGTCACCCCCCAGGATGGGATGACACCGGACGGTCACCACAGGATGGGACAGGAGGGGATGGCACAGGAGGGTCACCATGGGATGGCACAGGAGGGTCACCCCCCAGGATGGGAGGGGATGGCACAGGAGGGGATGGCACAGGAGGGTCACCATGCCCCCCAGAATGGCACAGGATGGGACGGCACAGGAGGGTCCCCACGCCCCCCCAGCCATTGCACACTGACCCTGCAGGGCGAAGAGGCTGGCGGCGTCGCGCTCGGCGGGCGCGGGGGCGGGCGCGATGGGCCGCAGGAAGGAGCGGTACCCGCGCAGGGCACAGGCCATGAAGCGCAGGAAGGCCGCCCGCGCCTCAGCTCCAGCTGCGCCCGCCCGGGCCCCGCGCCCTCCGCCGCGCTCAGAACCAGCTCCGGGGGGGCCTCGTCCGGAGCGCTCAGCACTGCGGGCACAGCGGGGGAAACGGGGTTAGAGATGGGCACAGGGGGGGGAAAAAGGGGTCAGAGATGGGCACGGCTTGGGGGGGGTCAGAGATGGGCACAGCGGGGGAAAGCAGGGGGTTAGAGATGGGCACAGCGGGGGGAAAGAGGGGGTCAGAGATGGGCATGGCTCAGGGGGGATCAGAGATGGGCACAGTTGGGGGAAAAGAGGGTCAGAGATGGGCACGGCTCGGGGGAAAAAAGGGGTCAGAGATGGGCATGGTGGGGAAAAGAGGATCAGAGATGGGCACAGCTGGGGAAAAAGGGGGTCAGAGATGGGCACAGTGGGGGAAAGAGGGGGTCAGAGATGGGCACGGCTTGGGGGGGTCAGAGATGGGCACAGTGGGGGAAAAAAGGGGTTCAGAGATGGGCACGGCTCGGGGGTTCAGAGATGGGCACAGCTCGGGGTCAGAGATGGGCACGGCTAGGGAGCAGAGATGGGCACGGCTCGGGGAAAAAGGAGGTCAGAGATGGACTGTGCGGGGAAAGAGAGAGGTCAGAGATGGGCATGGTTTGGGGGGAGTCAGAGATGGGCACGGCTCGGGGTCAGAGATGGGCACGGCTCGGGGGAAAAGGGGTCAGAGATGGGCACGGCATGGGGGTCAGAGATGGGCACGGCTCGGGGGAGCAGAGATAGGCACGGCTTGGGGGGTCAGAGATGGGCACAGCGGTGGGAAAAGGGGGGTCAGAGATGGGCACAGCGGGAGGGGAAAAGCAGGGGGTCAGAGATGGGCACGCGCTCAGGGGGTCAGAGATGGGCACAGCGGGGGAAAGAGGGGTCAGAGATGGGCACAGAGGGGGAGCAGAGATGGGCACGGCTCGGGGAAAAAGAGGTCAGAGATGGGCACAGAGGGGAAAAGAGGGGGTCAGAGATGGGCATGGCTTGGGGAGCAGAGATGGAGTGCGGCTCGGGGGAAAAAGGGGTCAGAGATGGGCACAGAGGGGGAAAAGAGGGGGTCAGAGATGGGCACAGAGGGGGGAAAAGGGGATCAGAGATGGGCACGGCTCAGGGGGGAGCAACAGGGGGTCAGAGATGGGCACAGCTTGGGGGGAGCCAGAGATGGAGTGCGGCTCAGGGGGGGAAAAAGAGGGTCAGAGATGGGCACGGGGGGAAGAGGGTCAGGGATGGGCACAGAGGGGAAAAGGAGAGGGTCAGAGAGATGGGCACAGAGGGAAAAGGGGGGACAGAGGGTGGTTTGCACAGCGGAGGGGAAAAGAGGGGTCAGAGATGGGGAGCTAGCTCCAGGCGGGAAAAGAGAGGGTCAGAGAGATGGGCACAGAGGGGAAAAGAGAGGGGAGAGGGTCAGAGATGGGCACAGAGGGGGAAAGAGGGGGTCAGAGATGGGCACAGAGGGGAAAGAGGGAGTCAGAGATGGGCACAGCGAGGGGGAAAGAGAGGGGATCAGAGATGGAGTACAGCTCAGGGGAAAAGAGGGGTCAGAGATGGGCACAGAGGGGGGAAAAGAGGGGGTCAGAGATGGGCACAGAGGAAGAGGGGGTCAGAGATGGGCACAGCTCGAGAGGAAAAAGGGGTCAGAGATGGGTACAGCCAGGAAAAGAGGGCAGATGGGCACAGAGGGGAAAAGGGGTCAGAGATGGGCACAGCGGGGGAAGGGGTCAGAGATGGGCACGGCTCGAGGAAAAAGGGGGTCAGAGATGGGCACAGAGCAAAAGAGGGTCAGAGATAGGCTGTGAGGGGAAAAGGGGGTCAGAGATGGGCACGGCTCAGAGGAAAAAAAGGGGTCAGAGAGATGAGCACAGAGGGGAAAGAGGGGTCAGAGATAGGCACAGCAGAGGGGAAAAGGGGGTCAGAGATGGAGTTTTTAGCTCAGGGGTCAGAGATGGGCACGGCTTAGAGGTCAGAGATGGGCACAGCTCAGGGAGGTCAGAGATGGGCACGGCTTGGGGGGTCAGAGAGATGGGCACGAGGCTCAGGGGGGTCAGAGATGGGAGCCGGCAGAATGGCATGGTGGGGGGTCAGGTGAGATGGGCACAGCAGGGGGTCAGAGATGGGCACGGCCTCGGGGAGCAGAGATGGGCACAGCTTGGGGGAGTCAGAGATGGGCACGGCTTGGGAAGGGGTCAGAGATGGGCACGGCTCGGGGGAGCAGAGATGGGCACGGCTCGGGGGGGTCAGAGATGGGCACGGCTTGGGGGGTCAGAGATGGGCACGGCTCAGGGGGTCAGAGATGGGCACATTAGGGGGTCAGAGATGGGCACGGCTCGGGGGGAGCAGAGATGGGCACGGCTCGGGGGTCAGAGATGGGCACGGCTGGAGGAGTCAGAGATGGGCACAGCG